CTGCCAGGTAAGTAGAATGGGTATGTGTTGGAACACAGTCTAAGAATAGAGGTGTGTAAGATTTGTGAGAGCTTGTGAGAAAACAAGACATGAGTCTTGAGACATCAGTTTCTTCAGAACACAGAATTGTTCTTGGAATGTGTTTCTGTGTTCCTCCCAGGTGTAGGGGATAGAAGTGCATTTATTTCAGCTGTTGCTATTCGTGGAAAAACACATCTTTGCCACGTGTGGCTTGTCCTTGTGATTGAACACTTTACTCTTCTTAACCCTCAGAGTGTAAATTGTCTGATGTTCTGAATAAAGTTGGCTGTTATATGAGACTTTATTTGGCCTCACTTTTAGGCCCAGTCTCCCAGGTTCACACCATCTCTAGAATAGTAAAGAGATGTGTTTTCCATCCTTACTATGCTGGTGATTTTGTGGGTGTACATGTCAAAAGCTGCGGCATGGGGCTAGGGACATGGCTCGCCAGGTGAGGTGCTTGCCACCAAACCTGATTATGTGAGTTCAAAGCCCTAGACTGTTGTTGTGGAGGTTTTGGTTTATGATATGAAGCATGTTTTTGTTTTAATCTCATGTGTGGGGTATGAGACTAATTCAGATGGTCCACAGCAGCAATCTGCCTTGTGCGGGCTCTCAGAGGAAATAAATGCCAGAGCCCAGAGAGAGACAGAAAGGGGGCTCTGAGAAAGAAGAAGGCTTCTGGTGCTCCCTGCTGCTCCTGGCTGCTGTTGATGCAGCCTGACTAGAAGTTGGAGAGATCCTGAAATGAAGATTGGACACACCCCAAGGAACCTGACGACCCTAACCAGAAGGAAGTAGCTAAGGAAAACTACTTCCCTTCTCCCCACTAACCTTCTCTCTCTCCTAGCTGGTATTAGGGTGTTGGAAGAGATTGGGATGGAGAAAGGAGAAAGAGGCAAATAAAATAGATTAAAAAGTCCAGCAACAGGTGGCAGAAGGAGAGGATGAACCCCCTCAAGGCATCCTGTCGCTAATGTGTATGCTGTCCCTTTAGATTCAGAATAGTCAGACTGTGGCCAATTTTGTAAAATGCCTGGCATGTCTCCCGTTTCCTGGAGTTTGCGCCAAGGCAACCAGGCATCTGGTGCCCACAGACCCCTGGTCAAGCTCCTGTTAGCCCCAGCTCCAACCCCAAGGCCCCTGCCTGCTTGGTTCCTGCAGCTGCGTGTACACCTGCCTGTTCCTGGCCTCTGTTCTTGGCTGAGCTGGAAGCATGCCCAGTGTCTCTTTAGAGGCCATCTGCCTCCACATCTGCACCCCGACCAGGGTCTGGGCTCCTTCAGGGCCAGGCTAGGGCACCTCTGCTTGCAGTGCTCAGTTCCTAGCCAGGTCTGAACCCTTGGCACTCAGAACAAACATACCCTCTCTCTGCCTAAACCTCTCATGGTTTAGATTCCATGGGTCCTTGGATAGTTAGCAAAGTTGTGGCAAATGCCTGGGTGCTCATGGGTAGCAGATAAAGCCAGGCTGGGCTGCTGGGGTCACGGTATGATTGGCCGGACCCATTCAGACAGTCTGAGGCCCCTTTCAACCTCCTCATATTTCCCAGAAAAGCTGCTCTCTTCCTTCACAGGCCTTGGCTGGCTTTGTGGAAATTGGCACACAGAACAGCTGCTCTGATCTGGGAGGGGACAGCACTTAGGACTCAGCTCCCCAACAGCAAAATAAGCCTCCTTCCTCCTCATCCTGTGAACAATTGGTGATCTGGGAAGGAGCTCTGTAGGAGTTCCAGAAATGTTTTTATTTTTAGTTGATGAGACTGGAAATCTCTCCACACTGCACTATGCCTCAAAAAACAAGCAAAAAAATGCCTCATGGAAACCTTCCAATGAGATGAGGGATGTGTGTTGATGCATACGTACTGCAAAGACTTCTTTGCACCCTCACACAAATACCAGGCCAGGTCCCCTGCCTGTGTAGCCCAGGCTAGCCTTAAACTCATGAAGACATTCCTTCCTTCTGAGTACTGGGGTTACAAATACGAGACACCATTTGCAGCTTAATTCATGATATTTGTATCTATAGACATACTCAATGACATTTATGTACTGGCCTCAGCAACCAGGGTGCTGATCCTTCTGGCTGCAGAACCCCTGTTACTGGTTAGGGACTAGCTTCACTGTTCTGGTAGTTACAAGCCAACCTCAGCGCTCAGGTGGTCATTTGCCAGCTTCATCACTCCGGGTGTTTATGTACCGGCCTCGAGGCCTCTGAAAGTCACATGTGGGTTGCAGCACCCCTTGAAGTCATCAACCGGCACGCTGTGTCTCTGACCTAGCCATGTCTCATATCTCACATCTCTGATATCTCTCTCCTGGTCAGGCCACTGTCTCTGTTTATTGGATTGTGATCTCATAACACAGGCCTTGGCCCCTACAATGGCTTCCCAGTGGTCTAAACAAACCCCAATGTTCCCTATCCCATTCCTTAGAAAAGGGTCAGAGACCTTTTAGTTTATCATGTGCTAGATCTGCGCTCTGTGGCATGCTGACCTTCTCCAAGCTGCCAATGTCTGAGCCCCGGAGACACACCCTATCTTGATATTACAGCATCTTTATCTGCGCTGTCCACGGATATGCCCCCAGTCCCCGAAACAGTGTCTAGAACAAGAGGCTTAGGAAGTGCTGAGGCTGGAACCTGCCCTGCACTCTCTGTGATCACATGAGATAGCACTCTCCCCATATTCTGTCTCTAATACCTATTTAGATTGAGCTGAATGGCTCCTTCACTTCCGGTGGTTTTCCTGGGAGGCTTGGCTTCTTCTCTCTTGATGGACATTTGTTCGGGATCATCTGTGCTGCTGTCGCAGCCTGTGGAGAACATTTGTGGGCACCCGTTTATGCTACTATGTAAGTTTCTGTGTCTCACCAGGTACCTATGAGGACTTCGGGGGTTCTCTGCAGAGGCTGCCTCGGCACAGCAGTAATTTTAAAAGACTGGGTGATTCTGGCAGCACCGGCAGCATAGACCCACAGTTCTTCAAGGACTTCCTAAGGCTCTGTCCCTGGACTCCTCTTACAGCCTGCTGGCTTGTGGGAATATCATCGTTGTGCCTTCATCTTGTTTGCTGAGTGCTTATACCGAGGCAATTCACACCCCCCCCACCCCCCGTACGTTCAGGTTTCCGAGTTCTCTTCATTGTCAGCAAGCTAGCAAGCAGGGTTCCTCCAACGGTCTCTGCTTTGGTTCCTTCTTCGGCTTCTGCCAATGCTGGACTGTGATTGGCGCTTAAGAGAGGAACCTGTTCCTTCTTAAGTTGCCTTTGGTCATGGCGTCTTTACCGAAACAATAGAATCTTGACTGAGACATGCGCTCTGTGCCCACTTGCTTCCTTGCAGCCCCGCCCCTTCCTCCCACAGCAGCCTTCACTTAGCCTGCCAAAAATGACCTAATTGTCAACTATGTCTTGCTAAGGAAACAGCATTCAAGTGCCTTCCCTGCTGAGGAGCGTTTGATTTCCATAACTCTCTCACCCTCCCTCCTTCCTTCCCTTCTGTGTCTGTTTGTTGCAGTTAGGGATCAAGTCTTAGCCTCATGCATACATGCCATGTCAGTACTCTGTCATTGAGCTGTGTAAGCTTTCCACCATTGAATGCTGTACTCCTGATTCTCAAAATATCTTTAATAAGTACTAATAGTAATGTAAATGTAATGCAAAGCAATACATTAATAGGCTACTGCTGCCAGGCATGTCGCCTAGTTTTTGTTTTTGTATTTTTGTCAATTTGACACAAGCTAGTCTTCGGAAGAGGAACCTCAGCTGAGAAAATGACCCCAGCCTGTCACCTGTGGGCAAGACTGCAGGGTATTTTCTTAGGTAATGATTGATGGGGGAGGCCCAACTCACTGGGGGAAGCACCGCCCCTGGGCGGGTGGTCCGAGGTGGTGTTAAAAAATCAACTGAGCAAACCATGAGGAGGAAGCCAGTAAGCAGCATTCCTCTGTGGCCTCTGCTTCAGTTCCTGCTCGGCTTCTTTCAGTGGCACTGGAATCAGACATGTAAGCCAAGGAAACTTTTGAAAATTTTCATTTTTATTTTTTAATATTAATTGCAGTTTATTCACTTTGTATTCCAGCTGTGGCCCCCTCCCTCTTCCCCTCCCAACCTCACCCTTCCTCCCTTTTCTTCTCCCATGCTCCTCTCCAAGTCCACTGATAGGGGAGGTCCTCCTCCCCTTCCACCAAGAAACTCTTTCCTTCCCAAACTGCTTGGCCATGGCATCTTTATCGAAGTGATAGAAACCTAACTGAGATATGCCCTATCTACTCACTCTTTTCCTTGCGGCCCCTCCTCCTCTTCCCACAGCAGCCTTCCCTCAGAACTTTAGTGCTGTGGGGTGAGTGGGTACCGGGAGAGCACCCCCAGAGCTCCACAGCCCTTAGTGCTAGGTGAAGACACGCCCACAACAGAACCTGAGAGTTTCCATGCTGAACCGCAGACCCACCATGAACCTCAGCTGGGAAAATGCCGCCATCTATCATGTCACCTGTGTGCAAGCTTGTAGAGCGTTTCTAAATGATTGCTGTCGGCGGGCTCAGCTCATTGGGGGTCTGAAGTAGCCAGGAGCTGGGTTCTCTCCAGCACCAGTGTAGGAGCCCTGGGCCACACCTGCTGAGTTTCTCTGCTTCCCTCCATCTGAGCCTCCCAGTTCTTGGTCTGTGGCCACCTCTGATGGAGGCTTGGGCTCGGGCTAGCAGGACAGTATTTCTTCAGGTAAGTTTCCTCCTCCCTGGGTCTGTCTTCCATCTCTGGTAGTGAAAGCTCAGGGTCTTTTCCTAGACTCTTAATTTCCAGGGACTGGAAGGGGACTAGGGGGAGGAGAAGAGGAAGAGGGAGGAGGGGAGGAGGAGGAGCAGGCAGGCACCAGGACCTAGGAGGGAGGGAGGTGTAGGAGATGGAGGGGGCAGAGGGGATGGTGGAGGGAGAAGGGGACTGACCAAAGGAGAGAGGAGGACAGAAGAGGAGATAGACGCGCCTGTGGAGCCCAGGAGAGCAGACACAGGACTGAGCTTCGGACCTGTCCCTGGGCCTCCTGAAACCCAATCACCTAAGCTGACACGAGCAGCCTCCAGGCGGCTGCCTTAGAGCACTGCCCTCCCAGTGGAATGCAGCCGCTCCCGCCGCCAGTGCCGGGCCCCCTGGCTCTGCTGGATACCACAGGTTAGCGTCCCTGGCGTCTCTCCTGCTGGCAGGCAATCTGGCCCCCCCCCCCCCCCCCCCCCCCCCCCGGAGCTGGGTAACATACAGGTCTCCAGCTGGTCTAAGAGGGGAATAGCGCGCCCGGCCCCAGGCACAGGACTCCTTTGGGACTTGGGGCTGGGGACTCAGGTCTGGCTTCTTGGGCTTTGAGTTTATGTGGCCACCTGTCCCCTGGCGGTTCATTCTTCTGCTGCTTACCCATATACCCACCGTTCTCTTCTGTTTCTGTCCCCGACGTCATGTTTTTATTAAGAGACACAACAAGTCCTTTTCAGCGGTGCGCCCCGTGCCCCACACCTTTCCAGTCCTACTGTGTTTATTTCAACTTCTCAACTTTTCTGGGAAATGTTTGTTTGAAAGAACCAGGGGGAGCTTGCTGCCTGACAGGGAGAAAGGTGTTCGGGGATTTTTAGAGTTGTTGGTGCCGGCAAGGGCTCCGCCCGCTTCATCAGCCAGCCACTCCATCTCTAATTGTTTGATTTCCCTCATCAAGCCTGAAGCAGCTGAGGCCAGGTCTGTCTGGGAAAACAGGAAACCTGTTGCAGGCTCTGGCTCCAGACGCTTAGGCTTGGGTGCTCTTCTGGGAGGTAGCCAGGCCCTGGAGGGGTGTGGGGCATTGTTCCTAGAGGGCAGAGGGTGGGAGAGATTTTCAAAAAGAAAGGACTTCCCACCTTGGGAAACCTCTGGTATGGGATTAAGGGATCAGATTGGGGTCGGGGTGAGAGAGCGCTTGATGATCCTTTCAGAACAAATCCCATAGACACCGTCTCTGGGAAGGGTCGCCACCACCCTTCACTGAGACACTTTCGGGAATTGTGATTGGTTAGTGCTGTTGAATAATAACTAAGGAATTTGGCTTCTTTCTAAGCGAGTCTACTGTGTGCTCTCCTCTTTAAGGCCAGATGCTCTGTGGTCATCCTATTCATCTTCCTTGTAAGCTGTAGCTAGCTAGTGTTGAATGACAGCTGCTATATCAGCAGCTGCCACTGTTATTACATTATGGGGACTTGGCGGTTTTCAGTTGGTCTGACTTACTCTTTTCTTCTGGTAAGGAGCGCCAGACTTTAAAATGGTCTGTGGGAGTTTTTTTTTTTTTTTTTTTTTTTAATTGAGACAGAGTCTTAAAAGTCTGTGTGGCTCCAGGCTATGACTATTTTATATCAATGCTTCTTCTTTGCTTACATCTTGGAGTGATGCTACATATAAAATCAGAACCTGGTGACTGGGCAGTGCCCAGCCCTGGGCTACTCAGGCACACTTTACACCTGCTACAGGATATGCCCTTGTGGGATCTCCTAGGCTGGTCTCAAAACCCCCAGGCTCAAACGACCTCTCTGCCTCAGCATCACTGGTGTCTGAGACTGGACACTGTAGACAGCGAGGCCTCAATGAAGAACCCTGCTGACTCTCGTCCTGCAGGTTGGGGTTCCTCTTCCTGCCTCAATGAAGTGGAGAACATGGTCCAACACGGAGGACAGTCTACTGTCCATTAGTGCCTGTACCTTTGGGGCAGACCAAGTGGAACTATGGGTACCCGGGTCAGCAGTCCTGAGCAAGACAGGCAGAGACCTGGAAAGGAGTGCAACATTTAAAAAATGAGGGGTGAGGCTGGGATAGGTGGGCAGAAAATGGCCAAGTGATATGCTGAGGTGTGAGGGGAAGGGCTACCTGCAACTGGACAGACAGGAGCACTAAACAGCTGAGGAAGTGGCCAGCAGCTGGCCTGACAGCAGGCTCAGAACATCTCTGGCTTTTATGTGAGTGGGACAGCTTTCCCAGACAGGCTCTGAGGACCTCCTAATTGCCTCAGCCAACCTGGTTGTTGCCGTTTCTCCCTCCACCCAGGTGAATGAAGTCTTTTCACTTACTCAGCCCCAGGTGCCACGGCCTCCCAGTTTGAGCTGGACACTGGCATCCTGAGAGCTAGAGGCAGGGCCCTGCTTGGCCTTCCTCTTCGTCGTGAGCCTGCTCACAGTGCTCACCACGTGTTTAGCAGCCATGTGCTTTCTACACACAGGGCGCTAGCGCCTTGTTGATGGGATGAGGGACACAGGAGATGGTACAGCAATTGTCTGGGTATCTGTCACATGTGAAATGTCTTTTTCTCCAAAACCTGATGTAGAAATGCTTGCATCTGGGGATCTCAGACACCCCTGCCTTCTTGTCTGGGATTTGTTTTTCTTTTTGTAAAACTTATTTTTATGCCATCCTGAGTACTGAGATGTATTTATAAAAGGCACTTTGGGTAGAACTCTCCTTTTGCCCTGTCTTTCTGGTGTGAGGCCATTAACATCAGTCCAAGTAGCCGGAAAGGAGTGCTCAGCTGCCCTGTTCTGCAACCACGCAACTTTCCAGACCTTGTCTTAGCCTGGGCACTGTGGACAGAGATGCTGACAGCCTGGCCTAGCTCGTGTTTCTAGGGGAGGTCAGACTAAGGTAGGGACTGGTAAAAGGGCAAAATGCCTATCAGAGACATGACTGGGAGAGAGTAAAGTTTCAAGGGCCTGACCTCTGGCCAAGTGGCTTTTTTGCAGGTCAGAAGCTGTAGCTCCTTAACAGTGCTAAGTGCCACCAGCCTAGGATGCCATGCTAATGAGCCAACCCAGAGGACATGGTCCGGTGCTGTGGGCTGGAGCCATCCTGGACGAAAGATATTTCTGTAGAAGGGTCTACGCAGACCTCAGCCATGTGGCATCATTATTAGCTGTTTGGAATGTGATTAGTGTGATGTACTTAGGGCAGTTGAGGGGGGAAGTGAAACCCTTTAGGGCAAGAAAGCATCTACTGGTTCACTCTGTGCGCCTGATGACTCCCTGTTAGTTCAGTAGCCCGTCTGCTGACATGGCGAGGTCTGGCCAGGTGGCATCTAGGCCCATCCTATGGCAGGTGGCCCCAGCCTCCTTGGCTTGCTCCTGAGGCTCAGTGTGCTTGGCCCTACCAAGGCCAGCTCTTGGTAGGGCTGTGGGCACCGTGGAGAAGCAAGGGTCTGCTCCAGAGCCTACCACATTCTGCCAAGGGTGCTCTGTGCCCTGTTCTGGTGCTTTCAAAGAAAGGTGTTGCCTTTGCCTCTTGCTGGTCTACCCTCACAGGCCCAAGCCATCCAGGGTGGGGTCCATTCAGCCTTACTTGCTTCCCCTAAATTTACTCAGAGGTTGTGGACACTGGAGAAAGTGGAACTAGAGTTTCTCCAACCCCGCTCACCCTGCTGCAGTAGCTTTCCAGGCCCCCTGTTCCTTCAGCACCCAGGCTGCCCGTTTGCCACCCACCAATGTCAGGGCTCTCTCAGGGCCAGCTGGACCACTCCCAAACACCCCAGGGCTTCCTTTCTGGGTGGTGTTTCCATACTCCTTCCTGAATTCTCCTTGTCCCCTGGCCCTATCAAATGAAGCACTTTATAAAGTTTATATGTACCACGGCTCATCTTCGATCTAGTGGCCTTCTATCCCAAGACTGAAAGCTTCCAATGGGGGTAGGGTTCACCCTGTGTTTATGGCAGCATGTCTGGGATCTGAAGGCATCTGTACATTCTGACTGCTCAGTTGAGTGAGGGATGGGGAATTTGGGGAATGAATGTGAGAATGAGGAGGAAACATGTGGGTGAGTGGGGGAATGAAGGTGACATTCAAGTGAGCCCATAGAGTGAGCTGAGGCAGATACAAGAGTCCCATGGGCCCTGGACATAAACCTTCCTCTCAGAGAGGCAGAAGAGCGAGGACTGGGAGTGGGAAGGGAGCCTGGACCCATATGTGAGGCCAGGACTTGCAGAGCCTGGTCAACAGGAGTTCCATCATCTTCCACCCCTTGGGGACCTTGGAAGCAGTTGAGGCCAGAGGTAACCCTTGTGCTCCTGAGAGCCTGTGATTTCTGTGTTGGGGGATGGTAGATATGGTCCCTCTTGGGGGCAAAAGGGTGGTTTAGAATGAGATGCTCAGGAGAAACCTCTCCTACCCTGGTCTGGAGAAGGGTGAAAAGACTGAATAGGGATGAACAGGGCCTCTGGAATGGGGTCTTGTTCCTGGAGATGTGTCTTTTCTGGGTCAGATAAAAATGGCTTTGTCCCATCAGCTGAGTCATTTGGATCATGAGCAGTCATCTGAGTCTTGTTAAAATTTATGTCTTGAGTTTGTAACAATCTCTGTCTTATGGGTCATAACCTTGGCTCGTGTTAAGCTTCACTGGTGGGATCAAAGGTGTGTGAAATCTTCAAACAAGAGCCTCTCAGGACATGAAGATTTGCCCATTCAGATCCAGTGGCCATTTGATGACAGGGTTTCAGGCTGTCCTGAAATTCACTCTGTAGACCAGGCTGGCCTTGAACTCAGAGATCCACCTGCCTTTGCCTCCTGAGCACTGAAATTAAAGACATGCGCCACCACGCCGAGATCCAGTGGCCATTTGGAAGGAGGTATGCTTGGGTAGACAGGCCGGTTCCAGACGAAGCAGGGACTGTGCTGTGTGTACACACATACAGGCACGCATGAGCACACATACTTGCATGTCTATACACACTCACAAGACATTGACTCGACGGACTCTGGACCAGGAGGAGGCCACCAGACTTTTCTTCCCCTCCACTCCTGTGTGGAGACTTCTGTTTGCCTGGCTGGATCAGAGTCAAACATGCCCTCTCTCTCGGCTTTGACCATAGCCTGTGGTTCAGGTACGGCTGTGTAGTGATTAGGGGAGGCCGATGCACCCGACAGTCAGAGGAATAGCAGGTGCAACCTTCCTGCCAGGTGGGTAGGTCCGCAACCAGAAGCCCCAGTCACTGATGGTGGGGTTGGGGGGGGTGCGGAATCTGGGGCTCAGCTGCCTCTGACACTTATGGCACGTATATGCCTCCTCCATTCTCTTCTCTCCTTGGACTTGAGATGAAGACAAGCCACTCTCCAGCTTCAGGCAGTGGCCCCTGGCTAGGCTCAGGGCTGTCAGGAAGGGAGGAGGGGCGGGCTGCTCACCTGCTGGCCTAGCTGGGACCAGGCTGCCCCTTTGTTGGTAGAGGACAGGTGTGGCGCTCACAGGATTCCAGATGACTGGGCCTGGAGCATAGTTGGTAATCAGCCCACAGCTCACTAACACCCTTCTTTTTCTCCCCACAGAGGGCTTTGCAAGGAGAAAGAAGATCTCTCTGTGGTTTGTGGGCTTCCTGCTGCTGGTATCCACCCTCATCCTGACCATCGGCCTTGCTGCCACCACCAGGACAGAGAATGTGACTGTGGGCGGCTACTACCCAGGGATCATCGTGAGTCAAAGGCCTATGGTAGACTGGGCAGAATGTTCAGTGTTCTGTGAAGAGAGACACATTCCCTGCTTGTCCACGGTGTCAGAAATTTCCGCTGGGGAGAGGGGGCCATAGTCCTAGGAAAAATGATCCCAGCCCAATGATACTCTAGTACCTGAGAGTGAGCTCTGCAAAGAGAGAGGACTGAAGGCTGCTAGTCAGAAGACCCTAAGAGAGGCCATATTGCACCACGCTCACAGGCCAGTGTCATCATAGGGCCCCTGGAAGCAAAGGAGGAGAGGGTGTGGCTTGGTGATGGTAGGCAGGGTTCAGGGCCACAGAAGGTTACATAGTAAATATGGGGAGGGGCCAGAGCCTCCAGCTGTCTGGAGAAATGGCAACACCGTCTGCAATACCCTGAAGGACCAGCCCCGCTGCTCCTGGACATTAGCCCATGCAACAGCCCCAACATAATTCTTGGAAGATGGGCTAGTGGCTTTGGGAGCCTCACAGGGAGGATGTGGATTGAAACTGTTGTTGATGCTACCATTGAAAACAAGAAGCCGTATAGCTGTGCTGACTTCCCACCAAAGGGTAAATGACTCTAGGGACAGAGCCAACAACTTGAGCAAGGCATGTCTCTTAGCCGGCAGCTTCTAAACACACTTTACTGTTCATTTTATCTTCATATGGTTTGTTTACACACCTTGTTTACATAAGTCATGTTATCTACCTGGATATAGTTCACAGGTAACCCTGTGTAAAAACATCGATGCAGGAGAAGTTTTGCTGTCACATTACATGAAGCACATACCAGAGACGCAAGCCTTACACAAGGCTCTTCTGCCACATTGCCTGGGCAAGGAGAGAATCCTGAAATTCCCAAGCAAGAGTATGTGAAGGTGCAGAACCTCAAATTCTCTGAAAAACACGAAGATCAGCCTCGATCAATAGTCAGCTGCTTGTTCCCCAGCTACAGTTGTTTGAGATTCTCACCACAGGAAGCTCTAGTTTCATTTTGATAAAGCACCCTGGCAAAAATACAGTGTAGGGGAGAAAGGTTTTATTCTTGGCTCACAATTTCTGGGTATGGTTCATTGTTGCTGGGATGTCACAGTGACAGGAACTTGAAGCAGCTGGTCACAACACATCCACAGTCAAGAGCAGAGCGGAAGGATGCATCCACAATCATTGCTTGCTGTTTGTGTCAAGCTTGATGCCTCCATTCTCATATAGTTCAAGACCTCCTTCCTAGGGAATGGTGCTGCCCACGGTAGGCTGGAACTTCCTACATCAATTAACTTAGTCTCAGTTTTCCACAGATATGCCCACAGGCCAATCAAATGTAGACAACCCTTTGTTGAGACTCTTTCCCTGGGGAGGTTTTTTTGTTTGTGGAAGGTTGATAATCAAAGCTAACCACCACAAGATTATATTCCAACCTAACAGTATTTCTGAGGGAAACGAGCAAAGGATATGGTTCCCTGGAGGGCAGGCTAACACAGTATTAGCCAGAAGTAGCTTTGTCTTAGACTTTGTGTCTTCATGGAGACAATAGCGACATTAGAGAAATGTGAGGAAAGTCAGATCAGAGAGACACTGCATTCAACTGAGCTGAAGGGTGCCAGCCACCTCAGGACGAGTGGCCTGGCCATGAAAAAAAAAATCATTTTTTGGAAAAAAAAAATTCACATTAAAAAAAAGTCTGCCATTTGTTAACCCCAGGTGAGGAGGGTGGCCTTCAGCAGCTCAGTACTTGGAGAGATACCATTCTTCACAGTCAAGACAGACAGGGCCTCCTGGACTTGACCCCTCAGACTAGCACAGGCTCGGAGCAGTGTGTCCAGAACATCGATCGCTAGAGCTCAGGTCCAGGCTTTAAGATGAGGACAGGTTCAAGCATAGGACCCTAACAGCTGACTGAGCCTCTGCCTGAGAGAGCTCCTGGACCCCAAGCCTCCACACTGCCTTTCTCCATGCCCAGGCTGCCTGCTGTCCTTGCTCCAATCTGAAGACTCCAGTGTGGGCAAGGTCTTGGTCTTGGCAGCCCTTCTGCTGAAACATCATACGTTACACCTGCCGAATTTCTGTCCATTTTTCATGGGCTGCCTGGAGAGGGCATGTCAGAAGGTCAGTGTGAGGGCTCCAGGTCCCTACAAAGGCATACTGAAACTTAACACCTCATTCCTGCGACCAAAAGGTGAGCTGATATCATAGAAGCATCGGCTTCTGCCCCACCAGTGGGCATTAGAGGGTATGCTGTCCCTCTCTAGGGACCACCATGCTGTCTCACTCTTCTCCTGACAAAGTATTTCATTTCATTTTTTTAAAATGACATGGTCTCGTTTGGTAGTCCAAGTTGGCCACCCTCCTGCCTTAACTTCCTGAGTGCTGGGATTACAGGTGTGGGCTACCACATCCATCGGGGCAAAACGTTTTAAGGGTGAATTATTAAATATTTAAAAATTACTTAGTTATCTTGATGGGAGGGTAGCACGTATGCTATGGTACATGTGTGGAGGTCAGCGGAATCTCTGCTTTTACCATGTGGAATCCTGGGGGTTAAACTCAGGTCATCAGGCTTGCCAGCAAGTTCCTTTACATATGGAGTCATCTTGCCAGCCCAAGGCATTATTAACTGTGATGGATCAGTATGATGTTAATCAATCATCTCTCTTGTTCTTCCTTTCATCTCAGCTGGGCTTTGGGTCCTTCTTGGGAATCATTGGCATTCACCTGGTGGAGAATAGAAGACAAATGGTAAGAAAACTCATTTCTCTTTCAAATTTTTGTGGTGAGTGTCAGTCCCTCAACATAGGATGCTACATTCACATCACAGTCATCTGAAACCCGTGGGCCCTCAATACTCTACAACCCAAGACTCGGGGCCCAGTTGGTGCCATTCACAACTTGGTCTACATGAACACCACTGAGGATCAGAGAGAGGTAGGGATTAAAACAGAACAGGGAATGCTAGGGTAGATGTTAGAAACATAGCTACTGTCCTATTATGGTGAAGGGACCCTGTAACCAAGGCAACTTCTGAAAGAAAACATTTAATCAGCGGCTCGCTTACAGTTCCAGAGGTTGAGTCCATGATCATCATGGTGGGGGCATGGCAGCAGGCACAGGAAGGGATGGCACTGGAGAACTAGCTGAGAGCTTATTTCTACAAGCACAAGGTCAGGGTGGACGAGAGATTGATATCAAGCGAGTTAACTGGGAGTGCTGTGGGCTTTTGAAACCTCAAACCCTCTTCCAGTGACATACTTCCCCAACAAGGCCACACCTGTAATCCTTCCCAAACAGTTTCTCCAAAGGTAGCTCAAGCATTGGAATGTATGAGTGTATGGGGACATTCTTACTCAGACCACCACAATAGTAGACAATGAGATGATGATATTTATCCAAGTTCACAGACTATCAATAGCTGTGTAGTACAGGGCACTATGGACTGTGTGTGTTGGTGCACTGTTGTGGATTATTGATGTAAGAATAAGTGGTTATCACTTGCCTGTAGGTCCTGTTGGGGTGCTCTGGAGGCTCTCTCTGTCTCCATCCCTCCATCCCCTGTACCTTCCAGGCGTAGCTTTACAGACACATAGCACATGCCTTGGTTTTACATGGGCGCTGGGGATCTGAACTTGCGTCCTCACACTTGCATGACACGTGCATTACTGCCTGCGCTGTCTCGACAGCCCCAGCTTTCAATTTTGGTGGAGTTTTAACACTTCCATTTCATTCAGGATTTTGATCCACGTTGGTGTGTATGAATAATACAAAGCAGAGTGTCTAGGCACTCCTGTGTATGTTCCTCACGGTCAAAACACCATTTGTTGGAGTCCATTTTTTAAAATAACTACAATTTTCTTATTTTTAAAAGTTAAAATTACGTAATTTCATCCATCACCTTCCAATCCATCCCGTTTATACCTACCTCTTTGCTTCCTCTTGAAATCATGGCGCCTTTTTCTTTTATACATATATGTGTGCAAAAGAGAGAAAATATATTATATATAAAATATATTTTATTTTATATTTTATATATTTATATAGCATAAATTATACATATATGTATAAAAGAAATATATAAAATATAAAAACTTACTAGGATATATAGATATACATATACCTATATATCTATCTATATCTATATCTATAGATATACGTATACATATATCTATAGATATACATATACATATATCTATAGATATACATATACATATATCTATAGATATACATATATTTATATATCCTATTAAGTCCCTTTAGTGTTACTTGTATGTGTATGATTTCGGGGCTGACCACTTGGTATTGGATAATTATTTAGGCAGCTCATCACTCACGAGGTCCCTGTTTCAGTATGCCTTAGTGTGCTGGATGGCTCTAAGTCAGCTCGATGCAACAGAGTCATCTGAGCTAAGGAACCTCAGTTAAGTAAAGGCCTCCACAAGATCTGGCGGTAGGCACACCATGCCATTTTCTTGAATAGTAACTGTTGTGGGAGGGCCAAGCCCATTGTGCCACACATGGGCTGGTGATCCTAGATTCTATAAGAAAGACTGAGCAAGCCATAAGGAGCAAGCCAAAGCCAGCACTCCTCTCTCTCTCTGCATTATGTTAGGAAGTGTAAGACAAATAAACCCCTTCTTCCTCAAACTGCTTTTTGGTCTTGATGTCTCATCACAGCAGTAAAAAGCCTAAGGCAAGTTTGTAGTTCTTTGTGTGCTGGGTACCAATGACATTTCCCTGATCCCTGTGAGCATGCTATGGTGTACTTACTTCTGCAGATCTTGCTCAAGCAGCCATATTGTTTCATCGTGGGTGCAGCTTACCTGTCCTTTCTAAGAGACACAACCTCACCGTAGATTTCCTGATCCTCTGTCTCTCGGTCTTTCTTCTCCCTCTTTAGCAGTGCCCAGATGGACATTTCACCCCTATTGACCATTGTTCATGGTTCTAGAAGATACTCCGCATGACACTGGAGGAGAACATTGATAGTGATATCACCCAGCTATAAACCCTGTGACTACAGCTGTGATCTGACTGTGAGCTGTGCTCGTACAATAGTGGCACAAATGTTGTGGGAATAACCCATAACATTATTTAAACATTGGATTTAAGGCACATTCCATGAGATGGAATCCATACCTTACACTTCTAAACAGGCCAAGAACCTGAGCCTAAATGGATGATGCCTACTAAGGAAATTTAAAAATGCATCTGGAATTGGCACTTTAAACCTGAGCTGATTATAAGTGCTGTAGTACTGAGGAACTGAACCACTTTAGACTTCAGTGCTGACTTGGGAAGAGCTGGTACCTGAAGGCGTTATCTAGTACAGAGCTGGCTACAGTGAGCATTCAGAAATGGGAGCCACTATTTTGTGTCTTCAGGGGGATGGTCTCAGGTTGGGCCACTTCAGCCAAAGAAGTGGAAGTGCTGTGGGCTTTCGAAACCTCAGACCCTCTTCCAGTGACATACTTCCCCAACAAGGCCACACCTCTAATCCTTCCTAAACAGTTTCAACAGTGTAGAGTGCTTTTCTTCTGCTTTCTCTTTATTTTAAAGTTCACTGTAGAGAAATATATGTATACGTATATGTATAAGCATATGTAAAAGTAGACCACATAGCTTGATACCGCCATGTGTACCCTCACCTAGCCGTCAGTTCAGAGTGATCTTTTGTCTCTTCTGTACTTCCCTTCCCATGGGAGGCTGAAGCAAATCCAGACACTTATTGGATTTGTGCTTGCTCCAATCTGTCCACTCTGAGAGTGAAATCTAATTAGAAATGATCTCACTGTTATCTCTGCCTATTATTATGACAATCTCCAGTGGAAACAAAAATAAATAAATAAAAATAAATAAAGACTGAGGGAGGACTCCTCTATACCAAGGAGAAGTCACATTCCCTGGAGAGGACTCCTGCTACCTGCCAAGGCTCTAAGCACTACCTCCTCCCTTCCCATGTCCCTTCACTCGGTGGTTCTCAGCATCCCACTCACTCAAAGACGATACTTCTGTGTCTGCAAGGAACAGCACTATCAATCTGAAAGAAAATTCGTGTGGCAACTTGTCACAGCAACTGCGTCTGTCCCCTGTGAGTAGAGCCTACCTTCAGGCAGGTATGGCCTGTGTGTTCCTTTGGAATCCCAGGAGGATGAGTCTGTCTGTCTCTCTTAACTTCTCTCTCCAGTCTTTGCCTTTCTCTGTGTGTGTTTCTGTTTATCGCTATCTCTCTGTCTCTCTCTTAGACTGGTACACTGAGGGGTTTCTCTCTGCTTCTTCACACATGTCCATGGGATCAGGGGAGGGGAATGGGAACCCTGGCTGTGTTTTTCTCTAGTGTCCTTTGACCCAGACCCAGCTCAGTCATTCCATAACTGTGTGGTCTACTCTGACTCAGCTGGCTTGGGCACTGCCAGGCACCATGATGGCCACAGCAGAGATGCTGGTTTCCTGAATGTGGGACACATGGGGTGCCCAGCTCTGGCTCTGTTTTTTGGAAGGACCAGGCTCTCCAGATCTTGCTTCAGAAAGCCAGCATCTGTGCATTTTATTTCAGCACCTGGAACAGCTCCCACCATAGCACCCCTGCTGCAGGGTGACAGCGCCTGTGCCCGGGACATGGGTGTTAGGGACCTGACACCTGCTAACTCACGTGATGGTCCTTATTCCTAAACAGATGATGTTTTCTTCCCAAGTGCGTGGGTGACCCAGTTGCCCGCCGCCTCTGTGGCATGGCTCTTTGGCCACTGTTCCTTCCTCCTGCTATCATGGCACAGCCCTCAGGTTCTGGGATGAATGGCAGTCTGGAGGGTGAAGAGGGCAGAGGGCTGGTCATGGTAGCTCTACCCTGTTTGGCTGGCAGAAACTATGGAAGAGAGCATCCAGCATTGTCCAAGGGTAGCATAGTAGCCCCAGAGGCTATGGGATGAGATTTTCCTATTAGGAAAGATTCCAAGTTGTCCCTGGGAGGTATGATTTGTGTCCCCGGCTGGCAGGACTGGCTGTGACGGGTGGGGGGCAGTTTGGGGGATGGAGAGGGCTCTTCATCATTGTGTGATTTGAATGGACTGAGGATGTGGAAGTGACAGACTGGCCGTGTGAAGTTTTGCTGGGGTCACACACTAGGCACACATGTGGCACAGGTTGACAGTTCCTTGTGGGAGGAGCTAAGTTTCCGCTCAGCAGCTGTCATGGTTTTCACCATGCTGTGCATTCTGATGTTGGGCAGAAGGCTAAGGACCCTGGGGCTGAGATCCATTTCCAAGACTCATGGCCTGCCCATGACTGCTTAGTAATTGCTCTGCCCCTCTGGAGGCAGAGGAGAGAGTGGCCGACTCCAGCTGCTGCCTTGGCTCAGGGTGGTTGGAAATCTGTGTGACTAGATTCAGGATGTGGGTCTCACACACCAGGGAGACGTGGATGGCACACTGGGAGGGAGCTTCTGATTTTGCCTTCCTTCCAGCAGAGTTCTGACTTTTAGGTTCATGGCAAACAAAAAACTGAGCTGAGTAAGGAGGGAGTGGCAGAGGGCAGTGGAGAAGAGTGGCAGTGTCACCAGAGTGTGACATCATCAGTGCATGGACCAACCAGTGCCTGAGAGTTCTTGCTCTACTGGGGCTAAAGAGAGACTGCTTGCTGTATTTGCTATTTCTTCCTTCTTTTCTGTTCCTTTCTCCTTTCCTTTTCTCGTTCTTTCCCTTTTTTCCTTCCTTTCCCTTTGTTCTTTCTTTTTCCCTTCTTCCTTCTTTTTTCTCCTCCTTCCTCTCTCCCCCTCCTTTTCTCCCTCCTTCCCTTTTTGAGGCAGGGTCTTACTGTTTAACTCAGTTTACCCTCAAACTCACTCCGTAGACCAGTCTGGTCTTGAACTCAGAGCTCCACCACCTTCTGCCTCCCAAGTGCTAGGATCTTGGATGTGTACCACCATGCCTGGCGTTTGCTTGCTAGTTCTCGATGACTATCCATCTCCTTTCTTCCCTGTGGCTGGCAATCCCAATGGCTTTATGCATAGCTCAAGACTGAGCACCAAACCCGTACACTTCGACAGATTTCCTTGCTGGGGGAGAAATTGTAAATAAGGAGGGGCTCCCACATGGATTTTAGGAGGTAGAAACACCCGGGAAACTCTCAGGAAGAAAATGCAGATTTGTTTGAGCTAGGATCTCACAGTGTAGCTGAGGCTGCCTTGAACTCACAATCCTTTTTCCTTATCCTCCTGAGCTCTGAGAGTGAGTTCATTATCACACTCAGGTCCAGGAATCCCTTGAGTTAATTCTCCCATTTGCTTGGTCAATCTGGAACTGTGCCACAAGAAAAATGGAAAAAAAATGTGGCCAACAATACTAAGGTTTTTAGCCTTACTAATAGTTAGAGAAATAGAAATTGAAATACTAAGAATCCGAAATGTAAATTGAGGCAAACATTTTTAAGCACCAATCTCCTGTCATTCTGCATGCAAGGAAGTAAACACTATTGTCAGTGGCTAAGTGTGTTTATAGGACAGTGTAGCAGCCCTTCTAAAAATTTTAAATTGCAAAGAATCTAAGTATGTCAAAGTACTGGGTTATAATATATGTTCAAGGATTCATCCTACAGAAACACCCATTTGTGAACGTATGAATCTTTGTAACAAACATAGCATTTGGAATGTCTACAGCAGACAATTTAACCATCCTGGGCAGGTACTGGGTTGTTTGTGGCCAGATGTGACGCTGGCCCCTGCAGGCAGGCGCTGTGCAGAATTAATCTGGTTATGTTAGAGGCCTAGGGCAAGTGCTCACGTGTGCATGAAAATGGGAACACATGTGTGCAGAGGTGAAGGCATCAAGTGATCTCCATGCAGAAGTTGCCCTTGTGTCTCATGGTACAGAACCATACAGGGTGCCATGTGGGCGAGTATGTGGCTGAACCCCTGGGGCCCATCGCTGGGGGGTGGAAGTCAAGCGGTGATGGTCTGAGAAGGGCACCATACCCTTCCACTAGGGCTCTGATTGGTGTTTTAGGCTGACACCCCACACTCTTCCATCTTCTTCCTCTAGTTGGTGGCGGCCATCGTGTTCATCAGCTTCGGTGTGGTGGCGGCGTTCTGCTGTGCCATAGTCGACGGCGTGTTTGCAGCACGGCACATCGTGAGTACTGCCTTTGACCAGCACACAGTCAATTGCTAGGGCTCCACGTCCACGTGGAAAGCAAAATTTCAGTTGCGGAGCTGGGCTCTGACATTGTCACACGGGCTTCAGGTGGGCTGCCATGGCTGTCCTTTTCTTGCTGAGTCTGGCTCCCGCAACCTGAATCCTCTGCTTCCCACAGGTCACATGTGCACAGCAAACGCCAACACAGAACACACAAGGAGCACACAAATACAACCACGCACAGCAGGCGTAAACACACACACCACACACAGTACAAACATACAACACCCACCCAGCACAATCACACACACCATACATAGCAGACACAAACATGCAGCGGATACAGACATACAAACATACATACCACACAATACATCCTTCATTACTTTAGTTACTCCCCAACCCCAGTCCTCCCTAAGCACTAGGGAACCCTTGTCCCCGCTCCTCCGTTCTGGAGCTCTGTGTCCAGAGTTCCAGCTGACCGTCCTCAGCACTCTCATCACGCTTAAGGCAAAATGCACCACGAAATCTCAGACTTTGCTCACGCATGAGTGTATAGTTTCATAGTCTCTCATCAAAGATTGTTGCTTAATGTGGGGCTAGATATAGAAAAAAAATCCTTTTATCTATAAAGAGGTCTTTAAGGGAATGTGGAGGTCCCACTAGTGGCACGGTTATGGCTGGAGCGGATGACGGCACTGCTTGTGTCTGCAGAGCTGAACTTTGCCCCCACAGTGCACAGGCACCCTTATTCACCTGTTTAGCAGCTGCAGGCAGGCTCCTAGGTGCCATAGGCAAATGATGAGCCAGCCAGGTTGATGGCCTAATGGAGGAGACCAAAACCGTTAAGAAACAAGTACACATAGACTGTCATGCGACATACTATGCTGTGATGTGTGTTGTAACACGGATGACATGGTACAATATAGAAGCACAGTAGGACATGGTATGTACAGGGAGATATGGTCTAGAATGTGGCGGGAGAGAATGAGGCTACGGTGGTGTCGGAGGGCACGAGAGAGAATGAGGTGGTGTGATGTGGAGTGGGACAATACGGACAATGTGGTAGGATGCGATCTGAGTGATATGTGGTTTGGCATGATGTGGTATGGTGCAACGTGCCATGACACAGGCGACGGCACGTAGCATGATGTGCTGCGACGTGCTCATATGATGTAAATGTGTGATATGAGGTCTGAGTGACGCCGTCATGGCATAGCGGTATGACTTGTACCATTTCAACCCGGTGGGGATTCTGTGCATGTGGATTTGCATGTGTGCACACCCGTGTCCGGCTGTACACGCGTGTGTCGCGCTCTCAGCACCTGCAGTTGGGTGTCCAGACATCTGGCCTTCCCTGGACAGGCCTGTAGACTACAGTGCTCCCAAAAGAATGTGCCGACCTGGCCCCTGGATTCCGCCCCTTGCTCCTTTGGGGATGGTTTTCCCAGGGCTGTGCCCTCTCAGCTCCTCAGTGTTTGGGAGAAATCGCTTTCCAAAGACTTCTGTCTCCAGGTAAGCAAAGTCTCACCTCTGCAGCCACAGATGGGGAAGGACTTCGCTCGCCCTTTCTGGCTTCATTGGTGAGCAGAGTCTGGAAGGCAGCCCCTCGGGGCCTGTTTGCCTGTGTACTTGCCTGCGTGAATCCACTTGAGCATGCCTATCTGTTTATGCCCGCCTGTATGTACGCATCCCTGTGTGAGCTGGTACATCGGTCTTGGATCTCTGAAGAGTGGCCAGGACAGCAGTCCAGCAGAGGGTTCAGATGAGCAGCACCAGCCCGACCCACAGCATTCCAGTCACTCATAGGCCTTAGAGGCCCGGTGTCCTGTGATCAGTTACGTCCTGTGGCGGGGGGGGGGGGTCAGTGTTAGTGACTCACTGAGGTCCACCCTTCTGAGGCCACTGGTATCATGCAGGTACACTCCAAGCTTCCACCATAAGGGAAGATGGTGTGAAGACTCCATCCCCATTTCACACTGTCATGTGTCCTGGGAAAGTCCAAAGGGGAAGGATCTGAGCCTTGTCATATTGTGATGAAGGCCAAGTAAGCCTGACTTCCCCGAAGTATTGTCAGAGCTTGAGAGGCAGCTGTCAGGTCCCAGCTGTGGCCTCCTGTCTCACTGCCTTCCTGTATCTCTATCCCATCTGCTCCTGTCATGTAACAGCTGGAGCCGATGGCTCTGCCTCTGGTCTGTCAGCATCCTCACCCAGCTGGCACACAGGTGCTGTGCCCCACCATAGCTGCTGTCCAGAACTTACTCATGACTTGTCTTGGTTTCTAGACTCCTCCTGGGTCAGAGAAATTCCACTGATACATAGTAATGAATCAAAGGCGCACTAACAGATGACATGCCTTTATGACACTTTACAAGTTTCAGGCCCCAGCTATCTTTCTTCTGCCTACCCATTAGTCTGCTCCGCCCCTCCCCCACCTCCCCACAGCTCTGGCTTACCTCGACCTCCATGGTTCAGCATGATATTGGTTCCATGAATGTTGGAGACACAGGGGTGAGATTGTGGTGATCCAGGACGTTGATGAGCTTATGTGTAGTGGTGGGGCATGACATCCGGAAGGAGGGATGGACGACTGGATGTATAGACGATTAAGTGACTGGGTGAGTATGTGGGTAGTTTGGATGGATGAATGAATCAGTCCCAAATCTCTCTTGTCCCCTTCCTAGTAGAATACCCTTGTTTACCTTTTAGAAAGATAGAAAAGCCTAGTGCTCCTGGTGAGGTGTAGAACATCCCTCGGCCCATTTGGCAGCAAGCCCCTCATCCCTGTGATGTCTGCCCAGCAGGTAGATGGAAGGTGTCTGTAATCCTCTCTCCTGCAGCCTTCTGGATGCCACACAATTGCTAGGGCGGGCAGTGACTTGTGTGGCCTCGGTTCTATTCCAGCCCGTGGAGGGCAAGTCTGAAATGGCCATTCCTGGTTGAGGATGACCAGTCCATCCCATCTACTTGTATTTATTTCTCTAGGAACCGAGGCCTCTCAGCGCAGGAAGGTGCCAGTTCTATTCCAGTGGGGCTGGGTACTTGTACGACGTCTATCAGACAGAGGTGAGTCCCTTTGCCACCTCTCCCCCAGATCTTCTGCATCTGGTTAAAATGGCTGTCTTAATTCTCACAGATCTTCTGCTGTGTGGCTATCAAGGCACTGAAAGCTAGGGGCCTTGACAGCTCAATGCCCGGCACTCTCTTTGGAATCACAGCTGCGTACTTTCCTCTCTGACACAGTGTTAGGATTCATCTGTCCAGCTCTGCGTGGTCAATTAGCATTCCAATTAGTGTTTTCACTGACTTAATCACTGCCATGAAACACTGGGATAACACATGTACAGTGTTCAAGGCACTCTCTGGCTCGCCCTGGGCTGGGGCAGCTGTGGTGTGACCTCATTCTTTAGCTGTAAGATGCCAGGAAGAACAAGTGCACACAGCAGCTGACCCGTGAGACCAGCCCAGGTGGGCAGGACATTTGTTAGCTCAGCTAAATAAGGCTACTCACATCTAGAGCCAAAGCTGGGAGGGTAGGGGGCGGGGGGGCAGGAATCAGGAAGGCAAATGGGTAGTAGATTCTCTTACCAATATGCTCTGGAATCTTCAGAGCTGTAGAAGGTTGAAAATTCGTGCACTGGGCGTTCCAGAGGAGAGAGGTGTCTGTGTGGCATGTGCATAGGGCATGGAGGGTTTTGACAGCCTTGCCCAGCCCTGCCCAACCCTGCTGTGCGCTGCCCAATGCTGTCCTGTCCAGTCCCATCTTGCCCTACTCTGTTCAGTTCCTCCCTGTCCAATCCTGCCCCCCCCCCCCCACATCCCAACCTGCCCTGAGCCAGGGAGGGTCCTGGCAATCAGCCCTGCTCCTGGACAGGAGAAGGTCTTGTATGTGGGCTGCTGGCTCTCTGGGTAGGATAAGCTATGAGCCTGCCTGTCTCTACCCCAGGTCACGTGCTACTCTTTGAACGGAAGGTGCCAGCTTAGGGTGAGGAGCAACACGTGCTACTGCTGTGACCTCTACCCCTGTGGGAGGTAAGGCCGCATCGGGAATCTGTGCAGACACACACAGGCATGTGCGAGCACACAGCGAGACCCTGCACAGGACATCTGTGCACGAGAGAGGCCCCATTTCTCCCTTCCCGTGTCTACTTGCATTTTCCATTTCTCCCCTCTGGGTCTCCTTTCAGCATTGAAAAGGGGGAATTCTTGGAGTGACTGAGTTTCCGCCCAGGAGCACACACAGAATTCGGAAGCATTTACACCTGGGCTGGCCCCTGTTTGTCACAAACCTTGAGTCAGCTGGTCAGCAGGTGGTATCCCAGCGCATCCCATTTCTGCTCTGCCCCCTCTCAGGGCTGAGGCCCACCTACAGCTCTATTATGCTACACATGGAGAATGAGAACACAGAATGCTTGCTGATTGTTTTGGCATGGGGGAGGCAGTGGCTCAGCCTCCACCCTAGCTGGCCATTCCAGCGGCCTTGGGACCCGGGAGCCCCAGGGTTTCTGGTGCTGCCTGCTTCTCATGGTCGGTTTGTAGGGCTCCATGGCCTTTCCTAGTCCTCCCGGGCATTTACTTCCCACTGGAAACATGCCCCAGGTCTCTGGAGGTTCCTCAGTGCTCTGTGCCAGGCGGTTACCATCTGCTGCTCCTTCGGTGGTGGCCACGACCACCCTTGTGTGAGCTTGGCAGAGTGCCCTTGGGCTCCAGTCTGACTGATGTCTTAGTGATTAGGAAGAAGTGTCACTGTTGAGATGGCTTTCTAGGTCTGCGAGGGTTAAAGTGGTGGAGCTGGGAATTGCAGAGTTCGGGCTGGTATTGGAGCTGGGTGCAGCATAGGGGTAGGGCTGGGGCTAAGGCCAATGTCGGGGTGTGGCTAGAGTCAGGCTCATTCTGGAGTTAGCCCTAGTGCTGCCATCATGGTCACATTTTATGTTTAGGGTTGTCACTATCCTTTTGGTTGTGTATTAGAGTCAGGGTTGGGCTAGTCATTTCTAGGGTTTATCTTAGGATGCTTAATTTGGGGCTTGGAGTTATGACTATTGCTGGAGTTTATTTAGGGTTAGAGTCAGCTCTAGGTTAGGGTTTGGCTTACACTAGTGTAAAGGTTTGAGTGAGGGCCAGGGTTTGTGTTAGGGTTAGGGCTGACATTGATGTTAATTTATATTTAGGGTTAAAGTTAATGATATGGCTAGTTCTATGGCTCAGGTTAGGATCTGTGTTGGTCATGGTTAAAATTGAATTTATTTAGGTTTTTTCTGGTTAGAGCTTAGGCCATTATAAGGTTTAGGATTAGTGTTAGGTCCAGGGCTATGGTTAGGTAAAGTGTTGGCACTGGGTTTGTGATACAGCTTATGGTTGCTGTTCTATTTTTATGTTTAGAAATAAGGTTAGGGTTAAGTTCATGCATGGGTTATGGTCTATAGTTAAGGATTTGGATAGGTTTGTGGTTAGAGTTAGAGCTAGTATTTAGATTAGGATTCCGGTTAGCACTAGGCCTGGCCCGAGATCTAGTGTTGGTGTTGGTATTTGAGTTAGGATTAGGGTTTTGGTTATGGTTAAAGTTAGGTTAAAGCCAAGTGTGGTGGTGCATGCCTTTAATCTCTGCACTTAAGACACAGAGGCAGATGGGTCTCTGAGTTTGAGGCTAGCCTGGTCTACAGAGTAAGCTCTAGGACAGACAGGGCTACACAGAGAAACCCTGTCTTAAAAAATGATATATATTATATATATATATACATACATATATACATATATACATATATACATATATATAGTGTATATATATATATATATATAGTGTTAAGGTTAAGTTAGGTCTAGGGTTAGAGTTAAGGCTAAGACCAAGGACTATGGCTTGGTTTGGGTTTAAGTTGTCATTGGTATTACAGTTAGGGTTAGCATTGGAATTGGGTTCAGTGTTGGAAATAGGATTGGTATTAGGTTCAGGGTTATTGGAAGGTTAGCATTGTGGTTGAGCATCTAGAATATTGTTAGTTTGGTAAGGTTATGGCTAGGATTGGTGTTTGGTAATGTTTGGCATTGAGGTTATGGTTAAGATTAAGTGGTTAATTTAGTTAGTCTCAGGTCTAAGGTTAGGGTTAGGATTGGGGTTAGGTTCAAAGTTCTATCTAGAGTTGGGGCTGGCTTTAGTGTTGGATTTGGCTGGTAGTTATGCTTTTAATTACAGTTAAGACCATAGTCTTAACTGTCTTGCAGCTGTGCTTGGTTTGGAGATTTAGGGTCATGGAAGGTTAGGGTTGACACTGGAGTTGGGTTTGAGGACTGTGTTAAGGTTTGGTTTGGTTAAAGTGGTTCAGGGTTAGGGTTAATATTAAGTTAGGGTCTGGGGTTAGTGTTTTTATGTATGTTTTATTTTATGTATGGTTAGGGCCAGGGTTGTGGTTAGAGTTAGGAATGTGTTAGTGTTGTAGTTAGGATTAGGGATAGGCGCAGGGCTAGGGTTAAGTTTTGGTTTGGTGTAGGGATGTTAGGGTTAGGCTATGGTTAGTGATATATTTAGGCTTGGGGGTTAGGTTATGTTTAGAGTTGTAGTTAAAGGCTCTGCATATCACTTGGCTGGACATTTTGATCAGGTAAGTTATGGGTCTGTGTTATTTCTATAGCCATGGTTGTCTCTGGAGCTGTCTTAGCCTTGTGAGGTGTAAGCTTTTCTGCAGGGAAACTGTGTTTGGTTATAGATGTTTTCATGTTTAGGGTTATGTATGTTTTTGGGGGTCAGTACTACTTCTAGCTTTAAGTTTACAGTTGAAGAGTATGATTAGGTCAGTGGTAAGGCTACCTAAAGCCCCACTCTACCCTCTCCCTTCTGGAGTCTAGTGGCCCAAATAATCCTGGATTTCTCTGGGCTGGCAGCTAAGAGCTTATGTGGCCCCTTTACTAAATTCCCATCAGCCTTTTCTGCCCCAGTGGTCATGTTCACGACTGTGGCTCTAACTATGAGGCTTGTTAGCAAGACGTGGCTCTAACTCCAAGTGTTCTCCTGACCACAGCATGATGTCCTGGGCTGTTGCCTGGCAACAGTTTCTACACATAGGTTGGTCTACTGACCATGGATCTGTCTCTCAATGATGGTCATGTCATTATAGATATAATACTTGGGGGTAATCATCTGACTATGGTCTAGCATGCTGCCCCCTGGCCATGCTCTAGCAACAGGGTCACTGACTTTGTTCTCGCTCTTGTAGCACAGAGCCCTCACCTGCCTACTATGAATTTGTGGGTGTGCGTAGCTGCCAGGACGTGACCCACCTGTACCGGCTGCTCTGGGCGTCCACAGTGCTGAATGTATTGGGCCTGTGCCTCGGCATTGTCACAGCTGCAGTCTTGGGGGCTTTCAAGGACATGGTGAGTAGTGTCTTGCTATGTGTTTCCAGCCCAGAGCTCAGGGCCTTCTCCTTCAAGGGAGTTATCTGCATGTCAGATGGCAACTAGGACTACCAATCACTTGCCCTGACAGCCCCTGACAACCTGCCAGGTGAATCTTTCCCACCCTCTTAGGCAGGCAGAACTTGTTATCATCTAAGAGCCAAACTCGCCTGCAAAGCTACTCTGTCACCGTGTGGTCCACGGTTGCCTGGGTGTGGTGAGTCTGGGTGGATCCTGGACCCCCTTTAAAGAAGCTGGATGAGAGAGGTGAAATTCACCCATACTTACTTCTCCCTGAGCGAGCCCTGCTGACCCTGCTCCTGAGCTCTAGCCTGCTGCCCTTTCATCACTGGGTAGAACCTCCCTTTTGTCCTCTCAGGGTACATGGCAAACCCTTTAGGGGTTCTTCCAAGTCCACAGGGCTGCAAAACACTCTGAGAGGTTCTTGCTCGTCCTGTGGCCCCAGAGGCTTTGGCCTTTGGTTGCTCTCATCAGCAGGGAAGCCATGAATAGAGACTGGTCTACTCTTCATGGTTTGCGTTAGGGCTTCCCATAGGGCCAGGCTGCAGGTCTGAATGCTGCCTTGAGTGAGTGTGAGGGTGCATCGAGTTGGGTGGTCACCCCACCCCCACCTTTCTTCACAGGTCCCTCTGTCTCAGCTGGCCTATGGCCCATCTCCACCACCTCAGATCCTCTACAACCCTGCGCAGCAGATCCTAGCCTACACCGGCTTGTGCCCTCCATCTATGACCGTGCCAACATGTTCCTCCTACCCTCTGCCACTTCAGGTAGGCAAGTGTTGCCTGCCGAGGTCAGGCAGTGGTTATTTCTGTGGGCTTCTGAGTAGACAAGGTAGCTCTGTAAGAAGGATGTGCTTTGATCTAGATGATGGAGACTGGGATCATTATGGCCTGGGTCATGTCATTTTCAAGGCTCGTTGCTGTTCATGGCCCATGAGCGTTCTTTCAGTAGCTGTTTTTTTTAGCCATGAGCTAGGCTGGGGTGGGGATGAACATTCCACCAGCTGGCTGGAGTCTGAGCACGTGATGCCAATAAGTGCTCTAAGCGGAGCCCTAGTGCTTGCCAACATCTGAAGTTTATCTACAAAGATGCCAACTCTATAGGGCTCATGTGCCCAGTGCTGCAGACCCTGAGGCCAGCAGGGGAGGAGGTCTGGAATGAGATCTTGTTTGAACAGGGCTTTGCCTCACCTACTTCCACTCTTGGATTTGGCTTGTTCACGTTCTATGAAGCTCTGGAGGCCAAGGGCAAAAGGCCCCTGTTGTCTAGTGGTTCTGTACTGACCTGGGCTTGGCAGTGTGGACTTGTGAGCTGGAATCCTCTTGTTTGCATCTCAGCACTGTGGTGTGTCAGGCAGGTCGTGACCTCCACCTCCCTATACAGAGACCCTTAGTCATGACAACCAAAAACCATCTGTAAATCAGCCCCGTGTCTTCTGTGAGGAGACTGAGAGCCCAGGTCTAGACAAACCTTTCTAGATGGGATGATGCCTGCTCCTGCATCCTGGATGTAGGTGACTTGTCTTACGGCACCAATGGAAGCAGTTATGAGACTCAGAAAGCTGTGCTCAGCAAAGCTCTGTGCCATCGCACTATGCTGATGAGTTTCTTTGACCTGTGCACTCTGGTGAATGGGGTGACATAATTTTTTTTGAAGTCACATGTCCTCAGGTATTTCCCCAGAAGACCTCCACTATGAAGCGAAGCCTTGCCAGGCAAAATGACTGTTTGGGAGGGCATGGGTGTCCAGCTCAACTATCTTGGATGGAGAGAGCTGTTCAAACCTTAGGACTAAGCCAACACAGTGACCAGGTGTGAGCAGCCCTTGGGAGGTTTCTGACCATCCGGGCTCCACATGTGGATGGGGACTGACAGTAACATGTAGAGCTGAGGTATGAGGACCCTCAGTGTCTGGGATCCTCACACACAGCTTCATTCTGCTCCCCGGGGCTCACTGGTGCTTAGACTCAGAGGGGTGAGGTTGCTGTGCCGCTGCTCTGCCCCCTACAAGGGGCAGGACCTTTTCTCTGTACCTAAGCTTCCTCTGCTTATGTAGAAATGAGGCTGGGGCTGTAACCCTGGACTACTTGCGTCCTTTGGTCTCTGGAGGAGGGACACAGTGGCTGTCTGCTGCAGTTTTGGCGAGTGGGTCTGGTCTCTCTCAGTGTGATGCCCTCGGGCTGTGCTAGTGGGGCTTTCCGAAAGAGCCCTCATGCACAGGGACCTGAAGTCAGGGAACATAAGGCCCCTTGGGTGTAAAGTCTGGCTCAAGACTGACTCTCTCTTCGCTGGAACATCGGAAGCAGCTGTGTCTAGGGTCAGGAACCGAGATGGCCCTGGTGATAACTCTAAAGGCATCTAAATTGGTGGCACCAGCAGAAGCAGCTGCAGCTCCAAGACCTCTGCCTTTTGCTCCAACTTCCTGCATTGACTTCGAGAGGGATCTCCCTGGTTTCCATCCCAGGAAGGATGCTATCACCTCAGGCTGCAGCTCATCCCGGGACCCTGCTCTCTTTTACCAAATCTACTTGTGAGACTCTTAGGATGATCTCTGGGTAGACCTGATGGGGCTCTCTCAGCTGGTCTGGCTGCCTTTGGACACAGAGAGCCACCAAGTCCCATGCCAAGAGCATGACTCCAGAGCACAGCCTGTACAGAGAACGTCTTCTCTCAGGACACCTGATGTTCCACAGGGGATGATGGTGAGCAAGGAATCTGTGGTTTCCTCCCGCCTGTGTCTAGGATGGTTGGGCCAGTCCTGGTGCCTTCCTGTCTCTCAGAGGAAGAACGGACAGCTGTGAAGGGGCTGCTGGGCTGCTAGCCTGCTCTCACGGAATGTGAGATTCCCCATGAGGAGCTCTTCCCTGTTGCATGTACTTGGAAAAGGATAAATGCCCTTTGTGCTGGTACATAAGGGACAGTCCTTCACCACAGATATACTTCCGGGAACCTGGAAGATCGCCTGTCAAGTCCCAAGGGTGCTCTTCCTCCTCCTCTGGCCTTCTGGGACCTTTGTGATTTCCAGAGTGGAGGCGTCCCTTCCTCCCAGAGGAGGCCCGGGAGCCCCACCCTCTGGGCCGAGCGGCTTTGTCAGCAGCCTGTGTGGGAGTATCATTGCACATATGCTTAGTCATGAGATTTCTCGGGAACAGGCACATTGGATGAGCTGTGTGCTCCCTAAGAACGACGGAACGAATTCTGTCTCCACTGGCCATCAGAGGCGGAAGGAGATATTTTCAGTGTCCTGTTGAAGTCATTAGCAGCCAGCAGACATTCCTGCATAGTGGGAGTGAGTGAGATGGCTCTGCGGGGCTGTTTCGTGAAGTTAGTCAAAAGAAGAACTTTAAAGGGGTTGGAGCCTACCCCCAGCAGCTTGCCCAGTTGGCAGCTGAGGCTAGCCTGAATGGTGTTGCTGGGGCAGCAGTCCTGTCCTCCATGAGGGCAGGGTCTGCCTTCACGGGGCCTTAGTTAGTGAGGTGCTTTCTCTCGTTTCCCAGTGGTTTGCTCTGTGGCTCCCAGGAGTTGCTCCGTGTGTCTGCGCGGTTTATCCTGAGGTTTCTGGGGGTCTATCCTGTGGTTCTTGGGAGCTTGCTCCACAGTTTGTGTATCCACTTATCTTCAGAAAAGAGCAGAAGGGACAGGGTGGGAAGCCCATCCTAGCAGACCGAAGAAGGTGATCTGCAGGCCTGCACTGGCCCTGCACTCGGCTGCACACACAGATCTGAGGGAGAAACAAGAGAAGACTCGAGAGCAACAGTTGAACTGTTTGTGACAATCATCTCTAGCAAGGGAGACTTTCTCAGCTTCTGTTCTTCCTTGGGAGGAAGTGATTTTAGGATAGAATGCTGCCAGATCCCCCTCCAGCATCAGGAAGATACGGCTAGTTGGTTCCTCAGGAGGCCCAAATGCTGCCGGAAGGAGCGTGATGTAGCACACAGGCTTCACTTTAAAAACTCACTTCAGGATTCACGTTAGTTGCTTAAATACTGATGTTAAGTTTTAAACTTCTGGTTCTTACAAGGGGAAAAAAAAAAGAAAAAAGGAAATGCTAGAAAAGATTGACTTCAGATCTGTGCTGTTCCCCACATTTCTTTTCTCACACTAACTCATCCTTGCTCTTGAGGCACTTCAGAGATGCAATCCCAGCAGATGTATACATACACGGGAGAGATTTGTCTTAATTATTGACTTGTGAGTAGAGTGGAGGCTGGTCCACCGTCTTCAGGACCAAAGAAGTGCTGTGGGGACTGTAACCCACAGTCACAGACTGGCAGTTTCTTTCTCCTTGAGGGTCTCTGCCATTTTTTCTTAAGGTCTGCAACTCATTGGACCAGGCTCCCCAATAGTAGGGAGGGCACCAGCTTCCTCAAAGTCACTTTTAAATGCTAATTACATCTAAAAAAAATACCTTCCATGAACTTCTAGACTGTGGCTGAGCACATTCGGTCGCTGCCATATTAACCACCATGCTGTGCTGGAAATGTTAACGGTCTTGCTCTCTTTAGTGAGTGCTAAGGACCTGGCTCTAGGCTGTCCCTGGCTCTTGTGGTGCTCGCGAAAACAGGCTGGGTTAAATGGGCCAGTGAGGTCTGGAGTTTGGAGACTTGTTCTGGTGTTCCCATCAGCATCAGAAGCCAGGTTTGGGCTAGCCAGGCACCATGCAGGCTGACACTTGACCAGTCTTGGCTGTTCTAGGCTTGGGAGGCATTTTTTTTTGGGGGGGGGGGCTGGTGAACTGGTGGCTCCTGAGCCGGTCAAGATGGTGCTGGCATATATTCTTGACAGGGTAGCTGAGTCCCCCACTGCTGATGGAGGACGCCTCTGTGTTTGATTGCAGCCCTCCAGCGCCCTGCCGGCCTCGTCCTCTGCTGACCTCTCCCTGCCTGAGGACCCGGAGTCTCCCTCCCAGCGCAACTCCAGCCACGGGCACTCTCCTAACGCTCCTCCACTCTGCACACCGGCCTACTTCCTCCCAGGGGAGAAGCCTCCCCCCTACGCACCCTGACACGGAGGAGGTAGCAGATTAAAGAGTAACTTGGTTTGGGGTTTTCAGGAATAGAACAAGACTAATAAGCCACATATAGAAAGCCTGCTTCTGCAGCCAGCCTTGCAGAGAACCCAGGAAGCTTGGCAAAGCTGTATGCTTCTCCTGGCCACGCCCTCTGCCAGCACAGGCCAGGACCAGAGCCTGCAGGGCCAGCTGACTCAGCACCATGGCACCTCTGCTCACCTCTCCCCACATGCAAACCAGTAGCAAACCGTACTAGACCCCAGCTTCACCACCCACTGCTCCACTTCATCCCTACCAAGTCTTGGCGTGTTACCGGTTGCTATTATCTTGCAAAGGAAAGGTAGCCAGGCATTTCTATTGGTGATGATTGTGCCTTCAGGAAATGCATTACAAGTTGACAGATTTCTGTGAGCATGTCCCCAAGAAGGGACCGACTGAACCCCTGAGCTCCACTTGTCTGATTTGAAGGAAACAAGCTTTGAACAGACATCCAGAGCAACTTCTAAGAAGCCTTTGAGCTCTGCCTCTCTGCAAGCTCCACCTTTTGGTAGACTCCAAATCTCATGCTCAGCTCTCCCTGTGGTGCTCTGTTGATTTGTGGCCACTGGTTTGTTCATTAATTAGCTGTTGTGTGGCCACCGGGGCCTGCCTTCCCTCTCCAAGGTCCGTTACTAGCAGGTTGTGGTGGAGGACCAGCCTGTGAAGATGTGGCTCCTGCGCCCCCTGCTGGCCATGGCCAGTTTGTCCAACAGCCATCTCACCAGAGCAAGCTATAGAGAGCCCCCAGCACAGGCCTACGTGGGAAGGTGACAGGTCTGTCTGTGCAGAAGATGTGCTGCAAACCCAAGAGCTGCTTACTGGTCCCCGAAGTGCTGAGACACCACTGGTCTGAAGGCTGCTCGCTACGCGCTGTCTTCATTTTATGACAGGATCTTCGTTCTAGTTGATGCTGACTGACCTTGGATCCAGTACAGTCTTGCTCCCCTCCATCCTCCAGGAGCCTGGCCTCAGCCTCCCTGTGACCCTGGATCAATAGAAAATGATACTCTGCCAACATATTTACGCCACTGTTTATACTAGGGTATTGGATCCCTCCTTGGACCACAGTTTCAGAGGCAGTTGTGAAAGTCTCCTTAGAGTTTCACTTGGAGGCAACAGGCCAAAAACCCCTCTGGACTTTGGAGGGACATTGGGCACTGCTCCTTGACAGGGTGAGTGGCCAGTTGGCTGTCCCCTGCCTTGTATTTATCCAGAGTGCACAGTTAAGCAGCTCTCACAAGGGACATGCCACGGTGCTGGCAATGGAGGAAGCTGTCCGACATGCCAACGGAAAGATTCCTGCTCCTTGTTGGGGTGAGGGTCAGGAAGACGGGGGTGGCCAGAGGCACAGAGAAGTATCCTTGATGAGGATGCACACACAGCAGGCTGCTTTTCCCCAGGACTGAGACAAAGGATACCTCATCTACATGGTGATTGTTCAGAGCAGAGCCAAATTCTGGAGGCTGCTGGGAGCAAGGGTTTCCAAGGCATCAGAGCCTCCTGGTGCAAAGCCCACACTCCCCCCCCCCCCCATCTGCATTTATATTGTGGCACTCTAGTTTTGTACTCAGTAGTCTTGTCTCCTGGGCCCAAGCTCTGCCTCTGAACCTCATAAAGCTGCCCCTAGCGCCTTTGCAGAGCAACAAAACAGCATGTCTGGGTGTAGAGCCCATGCCCACTGGAGCCGAGAACTATTAAGAAACATTGAATTCTCAAGGTCAACAGTTTTGTTCATCGCCACAAAAATGCCTCTGTTCCTCATCCTAGCCAGAGAATGTAAGGTCCTGCACCCTAGTCTCCAGAGCAGCCCCCCACAACCCACACTAATATATAGTGTGGGCAGATACCCACACCCACAAAGACCATATCCTTGCCTTTGTGTGGGCAAGACTAGGAAGCCAGCTGGAGCCTGAATGCTCAGTGTCTCGTCCCTTGATGGCTTTGCCTCTTTGAATGTGGCCCGAGGGTCTGCTATGTGCTTGGCTTCTGCTCTGCTTGGTGAGATTTGCTTGTGGCCGTTTGTCTTGTCGCTGAACCTATCAGCTGCCTCTGCTTTTGGATTGATGGGAGGTGGGGTTGACAGTCCGTGCTATGGTAGCAGCTCACAAGAGCGTATGGAGCGTGTATGTCAGACAGAGCTCTTCTGCCCTAGCAGATCAGCCTGCTTGAGTTAGAGCTCTACTTGTACCATCTCTCCGGTGGGCCACGGAGCCATCAGCGCTCTGCTTCTCAAGATCCAGTAGCAATAGCTTGGTGATGGATGGCACCTGTCCACAGGCCAATGGCCAGCAGAGGGTGTTCTACAGGGCCTGCCTGGGTCTCCTACTTCTCTCTTGGGTGGTCACTCTACTTGTCAAGTTTGTAGGAAGTCATTGCCTATTCTAGACAGGGACCCTGTGATCCTGGGTGTCTCCAAGTAGCTTCCAGTTAGAGCATTTAGCCTCCCGTTATGTTTAAATGCATGATCTGCAGGCTTTGTGTGTTTTGGAAAATACAGTGAAATGGTCTGCCCTGAAGCAGTGGTTTCTAAAAGGTGACTTTGCCCTAGGTACATTAGAAAAAACCCAGAGACAAAGTTAGCAGAGTGGAGTATGATAGAACCTGCGGGAGGATGGGGTGCTGACAAAGGTCCTGTGTGCACAGGAGGACCCCAGGCCCAAGAGAACAACCTCATCAAGGATACAATGAAAACAATACAAAAGAAATGGTAAAGGTCCTTCCCTAGAAAAAGGGACAAGTCTGCAGCCAATTCAGACCATAGGTACCATCCAATCCATTCCACCCTGTTCTTTCAAAGTTTGCACCACCCCTCAAAGGTTCCTGGTGCTTCCCTGGGGGCTCTGCAGCTTGGCCACCTGGATTTAGGATAGGCAGCTGACAGATGCATTATGACTTTGTTCGGTTATAAGGCTTGGTGCCAGCCAGGGCTGGTGCTGCAACATCAGAGAAAAGAGGTGTCTGTGCCCTTCCTGCACAGCGCAGTCTCCCCAAGGCAGATAAGGAATGCCAACTCTCTGGCCCCCCTGCATGTCTGTGTGCTCTCCTTCCAACCAGCGTTTGTCCTACTCTGTTCTTGGGCTCATGACCTGGAGAGAATTGGGGCTGGTTGGAGGACACTCGTGAGAACATTCCACGAGAACATTCCAGAGCTGCCTCCAATGCAAGGAAAAACCACTGAAGGTCCAGGGGACACGGTCTCACCAGTTGAAGATGGAACTGAGCCCTAGAAGGCTGTAGGCTTTCGACAGTGTCATTCCTGTCCTTCACCAGAGCTTACAGCATGCTAGGGCTCAAGAACATCAGAGGCTCCCCAACTTCTTCCCTTGTGAAGAAACAGCAGCTCAGAGACACCTAGCAAGCTGCTGTGTTCTTAAAACAAAAACAAAAAAAAAAAAAAACAAAAACAACAACAACAAAAAAAAAAAACAGGCGCAGCCAAGAGGCAAATGGCTGGTATGAAGGAGAGATGGAGAATTACAGGTGCCACCTCACACACTGGCTGCCAGGGCAGTTTTAAGAAGGGTTCTGTGTGTGGGAGTTACAACAGAGCTAGGCAGGACTCTATTTGCAGAGTAGAGTGAGGCTCTGCAGTTTGCTGTGAACCCAGGCTTCAGCCCTTGCCAGCATCCATAAGAGGAGGCTCCTTGGGCAGGTCAAAGCTGCCTGGCCTGGGACACAGGTCCTAGGAAAGGCCCCTCGAGCTGTGGGCCTGAGGCACAATGCTCTTGTTACCCGAAAGCAGCTCAGAACTGAGAAACCTCCAGAACGGACTGTGACCAACGCAGGGTTAAAAAGGTTTCTGTAAATATTTTATTTTTTCCTTTTTTTTTTTTTTAAGAGTCAGAAGCATGTGGTAATAAAAATAATAGAGAATTATTTTCTTCACATCCACTTTGCTGCAAGCTGCCAGCCCCCAGCAGGCCTCGCGGCTCTGACCAGCCACTGACCTGATACCAGTCCCATTATGTACAGATATGTTACAAGGCAAAGAAAGATCTCAAAAAGCCACAAGGGCGGTAGGCCACTGCTCCAGTGTTGCAGGACCTGTGCAAGAGGAGCCACTGCTGTGTCCTGTTTCCCTTTTGCCTTTAGGGTGGAGATCTCTCCAGCACGAGAGTCCTAGAGCAGCTTGGGTTAGGGTGTGGCTTGCTCCACAGGTGGGCAAGAATGGGAGGTGATGTCACTGTGCTTGTATGAGGCCTCGTCCAGGTCCAGGACCTTCTGGTTTACCTCCAGGGTCATGCATCCACGGTAGAATGCGGTGACGGGTGCAGAAGTCACTGGTACATCTGAGCAGCGGGAGAATAAACATGAGCCGACACAGCCCAATCCAGGGCACACCCCACCACCCTCTCCACCACTTAGGGCCAGCCCTGCCTGCGTTCTCGGTTGTCACTCCATGAGGATGCAGACCTGTACAGGCATGAAAGGTCTTCACCCCTCAACCCCCAGGCATGCGCGCACATGGTCAAGAGGAGTATCTTGTCTTGAGTTGCTATGCTCATCTCCCTTGATTCTTACTGGCTAAAACTAAACTGTCAAGGCAGAGAGCCTGCTCTTTCCTTAAGGTACAGACCGTGCATACCTCCTACTCCTGTTCCAATCCCGCCTGGGGAGCAGGATGCTGTGGGTTACTCTTGCCAGCTCCCCCCTGGTAGAAGGGCCGGCAGCCACGGTCCCCTACTAAGGAGGCAGATGCCTGGTAGTATTCACTCCTGCGTCACCTGCTAATCCTCCCCCCTGTGTCTGATCTCCTGGGCTCCCAGACAACGCCTCTCAATGGCTGACTCAGCAATGCTGGCCCAGAGGAACTGAACTGATGAGGCCCTTCATTCCAACCCTAGCACAAGCCAGTGGATAAGTCTCCCTGCATGTATGGTTACTATAACCAGAACCCTGTCTCGTAGCACTGGCATAGCTCGTGTGTGAAGTTAGTCAGCCAGACTGGCTCCAGGGATGCCCACTACAGAGACTAGACCAGAGAGCTCTTGCCTGGCAGGCCTCCAACAAAGGTGAGCACAGAGCCTTGAAGGTGTGTCTCAAGTATGTCCAGTCTCTCCTGCAGCTGGGCAGCGCTCACTTCGCTCTGGCCTTTGGTACCATCCACTTCCAGGACGGCCTCACCATGCCGCAGGGAGACCGTGACTATGTGTTCCTGGCTGTCGCACACCTTGATTTCCATCAGTGCCAGGGCAACATCCTCGACTGCCAGGACCACCAACTGCAGGGGATCCAGAAGCACAGGGGGCACACAGGTCAGAGCATCCCCGTCAAGGCTGGCCCCATAGGCCAGCTGTCAACGCTACCCTTTCTGAGTGGGTAGGGCCACCATAGCTCTGAGGATGGCTAGGAACACTGTGCGTTCTCCTACCCTGGGGCTCCGTTTCAGTGCATGAAAGCTGGAAGGTGACAGGAGATGACTCTTACAGAGGACTTGGGTTTTCTTCCAGCATCCACATTGCTCTCAACCATCTCTAACTCCAGGTCCACAGGATCTGCTGCTTTTGCCTGCTCTTCATAGGCACACCCCCCCCCCCCCCCCCCAAACCGTTTAAAGTCTCTGGGAAACTGTGAGGGCTTGGGTCATCCCTACCCAGCCAGAGCCGAAAGGAGGTGACAGGATACACCTGTAGCCCTGTGGTACCAGCACTGGGAGAGGACACACTGCCTGCCGCCCTCGGGATGTTCATCACGCACGCTATGGGAGGGGCAAGATGCCCGGGAGCATGAAGCCTGGGCCTCTTGGTGGGATGTATCGTGGGAATCAACCCTGTTATGGCTAGTAAGTAGGCAGTAGGGCTCTACAGCCTGGCCAGGGGGAGAGAGAAACCCTCTTGTCTGATTCACATTCCTCTTTGAAACATGGAAGGTTTTCCTCGCTTTCAAAGTCTCATGTTCCATAAGAAAATAGTGGGGGTCAGTGGCTTTGCATGGTTGCCTGGCTGGGGAAGCCATGGACACAGATCTGGAGTGGAGGCTCTGCCTGAGGGGCAGGTGAAGTCAGGACCTTACCCAGCATCCCCCACCAGTCTTGTGTGACACACTGTCAGAGCATATGGCTAGGCTAGTGGGTCTGACTCTAAAAGAAAGCTCAACGCTGCTAGTGACGCTACCTGACTCTTTCACTGCTCCTTGTGGACCCCCGGCACTTACAGTCCAGCAGTGGCTCGCTGCCACACCAGCCACCTTGGCCAGTGGCACACGTTGTGCCTGGGTGGCTGCCTTGTCCCCAAAGCCAGAGAGGACTAGCTGTGTGTACTCAGGCCTACGTAGAGACTCTGGGTCTGGGAAGGGGTCTCCAGTGCAGGGAGAGGGTCAACGAGTCTATATCCCAGAGAGGGGGTGAGGCCTTGGGACCTCTCCTGGCTGGTTGGGGCTTAGCACAATCAGCTCTAGAAAACAATGGGCTTCCCCAGGGGCCAGGTTATAATAGTTAAAGCTGGGCCCACGGTCTAGCTGGGGCTCCAGTCAAGCCTACCTGTTTCTTGAGCTTCTTTGTAGAGTGGTAGTCGACCAGGGCCACAGAGAGGGGGACGACATCGTTGTCACCCACCAGTGCTAGCAGCACCCCTGTGTCGGTGGCAGGGCGGATCCGAGCCACCACCTCTACTTCCCAGGTGGTCTCCGTGCCAACATCCAGCGATGTTCGGGCTGCGATGAAAGCGGCACATTACAAGGCAGTGCAAGGGGCAGAGAGGTGGGAGTGAGGAGCAGCTCCGACCGACCGGAGAGCCACGACCAGCTCTGCATGCTCTAGGAGGGGCTTCCCGGTGAGAAGGCGACTGTGGAGTGTGCAGCCGGGCTGGCCCTTAAGACCAGCCAGTGTCTCAACATGCGAATGGAGGGGAGAAGATCAACAGTGCCGAGTGGAGGCTGTCGACATGTGGGCATGGTGGATGCCCGGGTATGACTGTCCCCCACTTCCAAGTGCCCTGTGGGTGCCCTCCAGGTAACAAAGACCTATCCATGGAGCCACAAGTGCAGCACCAAGGGCCATCACCACCTTGTTTCCACTGCTCCCCTGCCGAATTCACAAGGCACTTTGCACAGCTACAGCCAATGTGCTAACCTCCCCCAGCTAGCTCCAAGAGACTTGACAGCATGCAGATTGGCTGGAGAACTCACGAGGCCACACCGTGTGTGGATGGGAAGGGATGCTATGAGCTGCATGGCTCCAGCAGGCCCTACATGCGTCTGTGGCCTGGGCTTAGCCTTCCAGAGCCTCGTGGGGTGAACTTATACAGCACACAGGTGCCTCATGTCTAAGATGCAGCTGGGTGACCTTGATGTCATCTGTCTTTAAGGCCATGCACTAAAGTGGACAGGGGGATTCTGGTTTTCTCCAGGTAAACAGCTCGTCTCCCTCAGCACTCGGAGGAGGCAGGAAGAAACCCTCAGCCTTAGATGTAAGCCTATATACCTCCATTAGAGGGCTGCTGTGAGTGAATCAGGGCTGGCACAGATGTGACCAGACTCAGCGCTCCCTGTGGTGCGTGAGGGGGCTCTGAGGCTGGCCTGGTCTCCCCTCCCCACGCACAGTCCATCAAATCAAGCACTAGATGATATCCACTCAATAGCTTGCCGAGTCCATGAATACAGAGTACAAAAAGTAGGAATAAAAACTCATTGTGTGGACAGAAGAGGCCAAGTGCACCCTGCCTGGCAGGAGCTTAACAAAGACACCAGACCTTGCTTACTCTTCCTCAGAACTTTAGGGGCCCAAAAGGACCCCCAGTGACTGTCATATTTTAAGAAAATTTGGGCTCTTGTTTAAAGGAGTCCAAGACCTGAGTGCCTGGCCTTCTGCCTCATTGGCCACTCCCATGGGCCGGGTAGGTAACAGGTTCCAGGACTGACCTGTTGACTCACAGAAGGGGTGCAAACCCTGTGTATCCTCCCTCTGCTACCATGTCCTTGAGACACACAGTAGGATACACTTTGTCAGCCCCCTGCCTGCTTCCTCTCCGTATGGGCCCAAGTACCTGAGAGGGCCCTTTCCAAGGGTGGTAAAAACTTGACCCTCCTGTCTTCATGCTAATAATCCTCTTCCCACCTCTAAACCTTCTCTGATTGCTGAGCCTCATGAAGTCAGTGGCCAGCGAAGGCCTGACCACTTCTGAGCATTTTCACACTCGTTCAGACATGTCCAAGGTTGATCTTCAGATTTTCTTCCACATACCCACCAGGCCTGCCCATCCTACCTCTCCTAGCTCTTGGGCCATGTCTCCATCACTTCCTCTACCATGGCTTACTCTATGTGAAGGCCAGAGAGTAGGCCTGGCTGCCCTGCTGAGCTCTGCTCCAGCCTGTGGGTAGCCGGCTTGTCCCTGGCACTCAGTGAGGCAGGAACTATTCAGGCGGACGCTTCTGCTTCAGGCTATAGCTGACTGGACGTGTCCCCCCTCCCCCACGGCTAGCTCAGCTTACTGTAGTTGAGGCTGTAGAAGGCAAATGCGTTCCCGGGGAAGAAGGATCCCCTCTCGGTCACGGAGAAGCACTGCATTTTTGTATTTGCCTTTACTGTTTCCTGGATGGCACTGTCTTCCCCATTCAGCCAGTTCCAGCTCCTCATGCACCCGTCCAGGCGAGGGTTAATCTGGAAAGACAGGGAACTCCTGGTGGCTTTTTGACTAGGACACCGAAATGACAGACTAGAGCAAGAGAGGTCACCAGCCTAGCACTACAGGACCTGCTGGCTTAGGAGCGTAAA